TATGTGTTTGCATTCCCTAGACAAATTTGATACCACGATGGACACCGCTCAATACGGTCATGGAGGCAGTAGGGGGAGAAAGGATTGACCTACAGAGAAAAAGGAAAATGAATCCCAGAAGGGAAGCAATATAAAGAAAGGAAATAATTCCCTAATTGCAGAGAAACCGACAAAGGATCAATGGCTTCCTGAGAGTTTCCAGTTCCCCATTCTATTCCAGTTCTAGATCCTTCCTCACCATATTTTCAAACATTCAAAATTGCTTTGAAAATCCTTCCCACGGACTTTTCTCTTCTTGAGACTATAGTATGTCAGTGATCTGGTGGTTCTCCCTTCACTATTGATACCTTAGCATTGATTCTCTGACTTGCTTTAACACTATTTGAGGGTCATTAAAAATATTTCAGCATAGTAAAATCTATAGTCTTGAATTCCAAGTTTTCCACAATCTCTCATCTTGTTCCATACCAGGAACCCTTTCTGCGGTCTAGCTTAGATATCACCAATAATTGCACCAACTGGGGAGATTATGTTAAATGTTTCACTTGTCACCACCTTCTCTCCTTCCAGTTTACTTAATCCAGTTCTCACATTTCTGCTATTCTGCGACTAATACTATAACAGATATTTGTTGTCCCCTTGAATCATTTTTACATCATCATCTACTTTGCTCTTTCTACCCTTGATGAAAATTAGTTTTATAGTCCAAGTTACACACCACCTTGTTATTAAGAATCCCCAATTGTTTTCCCTCATTTCAATTCCTTAAGCAAAAATCTCATCTCTAAGTCTAGTGTTTTTCTTTTTGTAGCTTTTTTATTTTATTTTTAATTGCAAAGGTGATGTACACATAAGATACAGCTACAGAAGTCAGGTAATGAGTTCATTTCTTTTTGAACAGTGTCACATCTTCCCTCATTTCTCTAACTTATGGGTACACATCAGTACATTAGTATTAGAGATCATCAACCAACTCGGTTTGGTTTAACTGACATTCAACTTGTGAACAACATGAACAAGTGAGCACTGGCTATTATCAGACAACCCCTCACCATGCCTAGTCTTTTACTTCCTGCTGATAGAAAGTAATGGTTTCCTACAACTAGAAAACCAATCTCCTCCAAGTAGATTCCATCCCATCCTCCTACAAACAAGGCAGAGCCTCAGAGCCACCTCCTTCCCATCAGACAGAGACTTAGCAGTCCAAACACCTGATGACCTAGCAGGAAGCACCTGACAAGGGGATCCCCAGGAATGGGGTTGAGGGGGTTGGGAGCCCAAGACGGACACAATGTCAGTTACAGGTTCACATGTGGGTTTGGGGAGGAAGTGTGCTTATGAACCCAAATGTAGAGATTTCCTGAAGGTGATCACCAGTGCCCCACCCAGGCCTGCCAGGGGACATTGCCCTGGAGGGTTGGAGTTATCCTGGCCAGTGGTGCTCAAGGGCTACGCCAGTACAAGGCATAAACAGGGGACTCTGAAGGGTTCTGGTCAGAAGGGCTCAAATGAAGAGCTGTAGAGAGAGGACATCACAATGGCTCACAGGACTTAGCCCCCTGGTCCTTCTAGACACCACAATCCACAAAAGATGCAGCTAGTGCACACGGTGGATTGTATGTATGGCAAAATTGTTTGGTTGTTGTTGGCAAATGAGTTGAGGCTCAGGCCTGAGTGAAGGGTGGAGAAAGTGTTTGGAACTCATGAGTCAACACAGAGTGTGCCCTGGTTTGAGCTGCCACTTCTGGAGATGGTGAGAAGGAACTCCACAGGTGACATGGGACAGACATAATGAAAATAGACTCTGCCTAACAGGATGTCCACACTGTGAGTAGCCAGGGTCCATCTAGGGGCAGGAAAGTAGAAGACAAAATTCCCTGGGAGTCCTGAGCTCTGGCACTCCATTCAGTCTCAAAGCCATCATAAGAGCTCAGTCCTATGCCCCACTGACCAGCTGCTGGCCACAGTTGCCTGACCACTGAGCTGTGTGCACACACCCCAGTTGGGATTTCAAGTCCCTCAAGGGAGGGCAGTTGGCCCATCTGAATCCAGGCTTTCCTGAGACAAGCAACATCTGGCCCAACAAGGCCTTGTCACCTGATGTTGCAGTCTCTCAGCATCACAGGTGTTAGACAACACCATTTCTGATCCTGACCTGATGCCAGCTGCTCAGCCATCCTCTGAACGAAAACTGGTCCTACTCATATATGCACATGTGTTGCCCTGGCTAGAGGAGGGCCTGGTTTGAAGTCCAGAAGGAAGATGGACCCCATTCTAATTACATTGCCCTCTGTATTTGAAGGAAAATCACAAATGATGAAATGGATTATGGTGAGTGTCAGCTGTCCAGACGAGACAGGATGGATTGGGACCAGCAAGGTGGTCCAGTCAGGCCTGACGACCTATGATGTCTGCATGGGTACAATGGGAGGAAAGAGAGGTCTCACGCTCAGCCAGGATGAGGTGTGAGGGGACATCTAAAAGAGCCCACAGGATTGAGTGTGAGGACACAGCTGTGAGACTCCACAGAGGTCTGGGGGCCTCAGTGAAGTGTTGGTGGGCAAAGCTGGTAGAGGAGATGGGTCCCTCCCTAGCCAGCAGAGCCCAGCCCGGGCCAGCCCTGCCCTGTCACTGCCCTTGTGCTCTCTGTGGCCAGGAAAATGAGATCATTGAACACTTGAAACATCTATAACACACTTGCAGCTGTTACAACATCAAACCAGAAGAAAATTTTCTGGCCTGATTCAGAGGCCTGGGGAAATTCAGGGAGGATGTCAGGTTTGTTGGAAGACACTGGCTGAACGAGCGAGGAAACCCATAGAATGCGGTCCAAAGGTCCTGAGGTTTGTCCCTGAGTGAATGGGAATAGACAGAGTCTCTGGGCTTTAGCTTCCTCCCCTTGCTTGTGAATGGGATTCATCCCTCAGATAGGGATCCGGATTGGGGGATCCGGGATTGTCCAAGATCCTACTCTGGAGCAGCATGCTAGAAAGATATTGGAGAGCAAGATCTGGGGGTATGCTTGGGAAGCTCCCTCAGTAAGCTAGTAAGGCTAGAGCAGGGGCCTTCAGAGAGAATCACAAGGATTTCCCAAGAGAGAGCATTGGCTGTCTCAGACACAGGAAGGGGAGCCTGCTTAGTAGGCTGCAATCTGAACGATACTGTGGTTGGACAACCCATTCAAAAGCCACCTGGTAGCCTCAGAGTTAGTCAGGATGCTGGGATTCTGGGTGGTGTGCAACGTGGTAACAGCAGAATCTTCTCACATGTGAACTGGCCCGGTTCAGGAGAAGCCTGTGTCTCCTTCCAAGTCCTCAAGGGAGCAGGAGTCATTTGTAGCCTCTCCTTCCTCATGGACAGTCCATGACTTTCCATCATATTCAGAGTTGTCTGGGCCACAAGTTCGAGTGGCTCTAGTTACTAGCCAGCTGGGTGAATGTGTCATCTTGGTCCTCTCCTCAGAGCGTCAGAGGAATGGGACAAGGCTGCAGGTTGTGTCCTCCACCACTGCAGCCTCCATCCCAGTGGAGGCCTGGCTAGTAGGAGGCAATGGGGCCCTGGCTCTTGGGCTGCTCCCTCTCTTGGACTTGGATCAGCATCTCCTGAGAGACCATGGTCCATGCCTACTTGCTTCTGTTAACGTATAGCCAAAGGAGCTGAACGGGATCTTGCCTGGGAGGAGGAGGCACACTGCCAGAAAGGGTGGGGTAGGAATTGTTGAGTCCAATGCCCATCTTTATCTCCTAAGGCCACACTCAGGAAGAAAGAGTTGCAACTCCCCCATCACATCATGGATGATTCCACTTTTAAACACGGAGAGGCTCCAGAGTTTCCTTGACCAGTGGGAATGGGGAACACTGTACACGAGGCCCAGTAGTTTCTCTCCTCTTCTGACCTGAGTGTCCAAAGGGGACAAGACACCAAACATCAAGACCAGGATGAAACACTTGCTACAAGGGCACAAGCCAGAAATCTGAAAACATATGCAGATCATCTCAAAGGATCAAAGGGAGTCAGAAGCAGACAGCCAGGGCAATGGCAGAAGACGGTGGGTGGGCATGCTCACCCCCCAAGCTGGGAGGGCAGCAGCAGAAGTGTGAAGATTGGGTACTGACACCCAAGTGGGCACTGGATGATCCAGGACCCATCCCTGACCAATCAGCTGCTGGATATGCCTGCCATTGCACTGCCCAGCCCTGCCCTACATGGCCTGTCTGAGGAGGCAAGAGGCAGTACAGAGACACCATCCCTTTCCAGGGCAGACTATGCTGCTGCTATGGGCTGGTGGCCACAACCCTCACTAGAAGACACTTTGAATTACTTCCATGGGATATACAACTTCAGAGAGAATCTCAAACAGGGGTGCAGCTCAATGGAAAAGGACTTGCTTAGCATCCAGCAAAACCATGATTTCTCCCCAGACCACTGAAGAAACATACTCCCTCAGGGCTCAAGAATCCCTCCCATGTCACCAAAGGTCATATGATCAATCCATGCCAGTGACTGGACATTTTGGGGAGCAGAGTCAGAGTTGTGGAATGATGATCCAGAACAGAATCAATGCCAGGTGTAGGCCTAGATAGAGCTAAAGAGATCGCAGTTCCCATGAGAAAATTCTACCTCTTCTCTGCCAGTTTGCTCTCCTTCACAAATAATGAAGAGTAGCCAATACCTTAGGAGGATGACAGACAGACAAAGAGGCAGACAGTGGGTAGGAGACATTCCCAGAAAGAGACAGAGGTATGCAGGGAGACAAAGAGATAGAGAGAAGTACAGAGAGACAGAGAGGGGGCCACAGAGAGAGAGACAGAAGAAGAGAAATTGGTGATTTGGGATCACAAGCTGTACAAGGTGTCACTGTTCTGTTGTCTTGATACTGAGCTGAAGACCTAATCAGGTGCTTTGCCTAAAGGACCAGCATTGACTGCCTGTTGCCTGTCATCAAGCCTTGCTAGCTTCCTGCACTCTTCTCCTTGGGTAGGTGGCCTGGTTCCCTTCTCTCAGGAAAGGAAGTCAGAGGTCTAGGGAGGCTTCTGAATAGGAATGAGCAACCCGAATATGGGCAGGAGTTGAGTGCAGTCTAGACTTAGTTATCTGGATACACATAGCCAGAAAAACCAGGGGAGAAAGAAGATGCAGAAGGAAAGACAAATCTTCCTGAGTGTTAAGGGCTCAGTAGAGACCTGGAATACATGCTGTGCAGGGGGCCTGCATCCAGGCCTGCCAGCTGTGCTCCAGGGGGTGAGTCCTCCTTGTTCTCAGTAGGACAGTGCTCCCAGGAGGTGCTGTGCATTCTGGAAAGCCTGCTGTGCCTGGAGGTCCTGATTATCAAGGTAGCAGTGAGGATAGGAGAGGAATTCCCCGGTTACAACAAAGGAGAGCAGATATGCACTGGAGACCCAAGTTCTTTCCTAAGCAAGACAAGCTAGATTTCTACAGATTCAGTTCCCAGGCAGAGGTCCCACTGCAGGCCTGGAAGAATCCTGGCTCAAAATGCATCTGTAGGAGCTTCTCCAAACCTTGATTCTTCCCAGTCTACATCAGTACTGCTGACTTAGCTCTCTGTCCCAACTCCACCAGAGCTGAGGATCCCTGATGACTCGGATCTGATTTCCTTTATGAACTGTTTGGCAAAATACAATTATGAGCTCCAGAAGAGGATCGTCCCAAATGACTAGACCAAGTGTGGAGCTGGTTTCAACCTTCTTCCTAGGAAGAGAAAGAGACAAAACACTTAAGAATGTACCTTCTTTCTCTGGATAGCCATGGGCTAAGCACATAGAGACCAGAGTGGACCAGGCTACACCCTCCTCTCCAGTGACCTCCAATCCTGAAACCACTCAGAAAGTTTTCTCGCCAATCCCTTTCTGATTGAGACAGTAACTCTGTGGTCCAGGCAATAAGACACCATCCTTGGATGCTCAATTCATGACATACTTCATATCTTTTATCTACAAATCCCTTCTGAGGTCAACATGACTGTAGAAATGTGGGTCAGGCTACACACCACCTTCCCTTGACCTCACATCCATCCTAACAAATCTTCCCCTAATATAGGAATGACAATTGCAATGTGGCCCCAGACAACACTAAGGATCATGTATCCTCAGTGTTATGCTAGTATCACAATGATACCTGCCACTGGACACACTGAGCTGCCCTCCAGGGACTCCCTTAGTGCTTTATATATACTATGTACTTTGCTAAAGAGGAACAACTGACACTTTGGTAGATCAATGGGCATGGTGCTCTCACTTGCCCCTGGCTCTGCCCTCTCTATTAGGATCTGACTTTGAGGATGTGATGCAGATCCCTGGTTCTGATGCTGTGAGGTCCACAGCACACACTCCCACTAAGCCATGCTGACCTGTCTAGGTTGTCTTCCCAATGAGAGCATTTGAGCTCTGACCTTGCCTTCCTCCCTCCTCTACAGCTATTCCCACCTTTTTCAGTATTCACCATACTTTCCCATGAGTGTTGATTGAGAGACAGTGAGTGTTGCCCACCGGAAACCCCAGGGCTCCAAGATCCTAGAGGAAAAAACGATGCCAGCCCTCATCCCTCACCCCTTGACTGAGTGCAGATAGTGCCATGGGCTCAATGCATGACCGAGGATAAGCCATTCCACTCAGAGACGCCTCCAGGGCACTGGAGCACAATGGAGATTGCAGTTATTTCAGGTGTAGGTCCTTGCCCTGTTTCCATTCAATTTGAATGAACAATAGAAAGGAAAATATTTACTGATTGGGGTGAAAACCAATTTAGGACACACATGTCAGCCTTGAATATGAGTATAATATACAAATTCTGTTTCTACTGGTGTCTGGTCATTGTGGTTGTATTCCTGGATCTCAAGTGTGAAGGAGATATACCCAGACTTGGTGTAAAAAAGGAACTTTACAGGATGTTAGTGGACTTTATGCAGAAGTAGTGAATGAATACCACCACACTGTCCACCAATGGAAGAAGGGGCTGTCCACCTGCTCTAAGTATCTAGTGTTCAGTGTACTTTCTCTAAACTAGATTTCTATGCCAAACACATCTGTAACCCAAATGGCAGTGGAGAAAGTGCGAAGCCCCAGTCTTGCCAGGCAAATGTCAGCACCCTGAGGGCTGGCCAGGGAGGTGGGTGAGTCTGAGAATCCACAGCTAGTGGCCTCTGCAAAGAGATCACAAACAGTCACCAAAGGAATGCTTCATGCAGAGATGCTGCTATTGCTAATGACACTTTTCCCTCCTTTAGAATATTCCAGGAATATCTAAAACTAAGTACATCTCAAAGATTTCTTCATCAGATACTCTCCTAGGATATCTCTTAACCCACAATTGTGAAAAAAAATAGGACCACTATGAACTGGAGATGAAAGGCCAGATAGCTTGCACTATCATTGAGCACTGTGGTCTATGGGCCTGCACTTCAACAACAACAGTTTTGGTTCACAGAGTTCACAGAGATCAGCAGTAGAAATCAAGCCTAGTCACAGAGGAAATGAGTTTTGCCAATGGCCATAGAAAGTTCATAAATTACACAGTATTGAGAACAGACCAAAAAAAAAAAAAGTGGACAAAATCGTTGAGTCAGGGCCACTGTCAAAAATCACATCCCAGACACAGACTGAGGAAGGCACTGCTGTACTCTCTAAAAGCTGTGCACTGAAAACTTAGCTCTCACCGAAAACTTGGCAACAGTGAATGCCAAGAATGTTGAATCCCTGGACACAGCCCTCACAGACCTGAAAAATGGGCACCACCACCTCCAGGAATAACTGTCTACATGTTCTTTATCCTGGAGATTCGCAATGGGTGGTTCATATTCTATCTACCACAGAAATTGGGATAACAACATTAGTGTTTCAATTTTCTGGAAGTTCCTATAAAACAGGTGAAATGGGAAACTCACAATGTCTTCTCAATAGGGCAAGACGCTATAGGTGCCCAGAACTAAAGACCACCCCACCTCTCTAACTCATATGTCCTTAGATGAACCATTCAGGGTATACATTGAATTCTATTGTTTCAGCATGTTGTTGGTCTTTTCTGTCATGGAGGTCCAAAATCCTGTGATTCATCAGAGGTTCCATGGTTTCCCTTATTTGTACTTATTACTATACTTCTAGGATAATCTTAGCAGATGAGCAGAATAGCTCAATAGCCATGTACATATGACCTTATAAGATAATGCTAAGGAAATTGGTCAATCATCTGTAGAAAACTATAGGTAGATCCTTATATATCACCCTACACCAGAATCAACTCCAAATGGATCAGAGACTTCTGAGTCAAAGCAGATACCCTGAAAACATTACAGGAAGGAATAGGAGAAACCCTAGGTCTCCTTGGCAGAGGCTGAAATTTTCTTAATAGAGACCCAGAAAATTCTTAGAATGGTTGGACAAATGGGATTGCATGAAGCTGCAGAGCTTCTGCATGGCAAAGGACATAGCTGGCAAGATAGTAGAAAGCCCACAGATTGGGAGAAGATCTTCACTAGCCATACAACGGATAAGAGTCTCATATCTAAAATATACCTGGAACTCAAAAAAGTAAATCCCCCAACAAATCCTCAAAGAAACAACTGCCCAATAAATAAGTGGGCTAAAGACTTAAAGAGAAACTTCTCTGAAGAGGAAAGAAGAATAGCCAATGGATACATAAAGAAATGTTCAACCTCTCTAGCCATAAAAAATGCAAATCAGGGGAAACAAAGGAGGAGGCAACAATGCTTGATAAGAAATGTACTCATTATCTTGCCCATGTAATTGTAACTCCTCTGTACAGTATTTTCACACTAAAAAAAATTCACTCCAAAACATGCAAATCAAAACAACACTGAGATACCACCTCACCTCATTATAGAATGGCTATAATCAAGAATTCTAATAAACAACAGATACTGGAGGGGATGTGGCCAGAAGGGAACCCCTACTGCATTGTTGGTGGGAGTGTAATCTTGTTCAACCACTTTAGAAAGCAGTATGGAGGTTCCTGAAAAGAATCTACATAGAGTTCCCCTATGACCAGCAATCCCACTTTTGGGCATTTACTCAAATGACCACAAACAAGGCCATACTAAGGTTACCTTTGCCTCCATCAGAAAGAATGGCATTGCCCCATTTGTTAGGAAATGGAAAGACTTGAAAAAAATTATATTAAGTAATGTAAGCCAGGCCCAAAGAAACACAGGTCCCATGGTTTCCCTTATTTGCAATAACTAGTTTATGTCTAGGATAAGCAGAAAAGGTCAAAAGCTATGTACATATGACTAGATAAGATGATTCTAAGCGAAATGGACCCCAAGATAGGGACACAAGTGTTTTTTTTCTTTCTTGCTATTGTTTCTAATGTATTTTTAATGTACCATGTGATTTTTTTGATTTCTTTGTATGTTCCTCCCCCATGGTATAACCTTGTTTTCACTGTATTTGATATGGGCGTCCTGCATCTTGTATATACACTTCTCTAATTCGGGGAGGGGAAGGGAAAAAACAAAGTGCTTAAATAGCGATACAGGTTGACCCATTGTAACAATAAGATGCACAAGACACTATGTTGAAAAAAAACTTTACAATTTAGGCAGGGGCGGGGGGTGGGGAGTGTAGTTGTGGAGGTGGGAAGGAAAGGATGGTAGGGAAAAACAAAGGAGGAGGTAACAATGCTTGATAGGAAATGAACTCATTACCTGTCTCATGTAACTATAACCTCTCTGTACAATATTTTTACAATAAAAAATATATAAAGACATTATGTCAAAAAACGAACTTTACAACTTTGGCGTGGGGAGGGGGGAGGAGGGAAAGGAGAGGGCTGGGGGTGGAGATGGAAAGTGATGGGAAGGGGAAACAAAGGAGGAGGCAACAATGCTTGATAAGAAATGTACTCATTACCTTGCTCATGTAATTGTAACCCCTCTGTACAGTATTTTCACAATTTACAAAAAAGGAATAAAGGTTTGGCTACTAAAAAAAAAAACAAAGGAATGAAGGTAAACAAAGAAACATGAACTGCTAAGAACCAAAGTTTCTGTTGAAATACCATCAAATGGACCTGACAAATGGCTCCTATGAACATTCCCAAAGAAAAGGGCAGAAAGATGCAGACTTTTGAGGAATTCTAGTCAAGGACTTGTATTTCCAAAATGGAGGACAGACATCAATAAACACATCAAAGTTGTTGAATTCAACTTCAAACAATAAAAACTCCAAGAGATTCACACTAAAACCCGGGGTAGTCAGAGTTCCAGAAACAGAGGAAGTCTCATAGGAACTAATCATCACATGGAAATTCCTTGCTAAACTGCATAGCTATGCCTCTTCAGGAAATGTGAAATGAAGGTGACAAGGAGGAAAATGTCTTGAAAATGAGCTGAGATAAAGCTCAGAGCCCTTTCAGGATGGAGATGAGGAAAGCCAGTGATTCAGTGCAGAATTCTCCTCTTGTTTTTGTGAGCACTTCAGTTTAAAGTCGGGCCCTTTTGCCTTTAGGCAGCTGTCTACTCTACTCTACAAGACCCACTTACCACTTTAATACACTTCAGTTCTTGTTCTGCCAGGACCTTTCTTGTGTTTGGTTCTGGGCATAGCCTTGAACCTTGAACATTTGACCTATTCGTGCTGTCCATCTAGAATCACAGTTATGCACCCCTATACCTAGCTTATTGGATGAGATAGATTTCTGAACCTAAATTGGTAGTGTTCCAACTAGGTTGTTGTTATAAGTTGAAAATCTTCCCTGTCATCACCAACATAACCATGAAAACACACAGAACAACTTCTTAGGAAATACAAGGAAAAGAGACTGGAATTTTCCCCTAATATTTTACTGCTCTTATCAAAGTTTTCATTTACCTAAATCTGGTCAAATCTAATGATTTTTTTTGTTCTCATAACTATAGTTGAAAGAATGGCCATTTTTCCATCTGGAAATATTTTCTAAGATTCTGAGATAACAAACTTAGTTGATTCCTTTTCCAACAATGGCCTCTCAGCTGTTGTCATTTTGTTTTGTTTTGTTTTCTCCTCTTCATAAACTTTAAATGTTGTACCATCCACCATCTCAGGACTCAGCCTATAGTTCTCTTCCTGTCTATATTGTTTTATTAAGTGCCTTTAGCTCGTTTTATAGCTTTAAATGTCACCTATATTTGCTTTTTTCAAATTATATATTCCACTGTCTATGAAACATGTCTACTTGAGTTTCTAATAAAACTCACAAAATTAATTTGGCAGAAATATAGTTATTGATTTTTCCCTTCTCCAACTCTCTGCCATCCATAACTGTCCATATATAAATGAATGACATGTTTCTACTCACTTTCTCTGTCCATCTTTGATTATTTTCCCTTATATATTATATCTGAAACAATAGTATGTCTCAACAGCTTTATTCCCCATAAAACCCACCTTGCTCCTGGTTAGGGGACACTGTGAAATCTCTCTTCCAATCTCTGTTATGAGTATCTTGCTCAGTCATCTGTGAGACCGTTAAGCAATAGTAACGGACTAATTCAGTCACTATAAGCATTGATTATGAGTTGAGAAACTGTGGAAAAGAGAGACTATAAAAACATTCCAGAGAGGGTTATACTATCTCATGGTTTATTCAAAACTCATCTTACATATAGTGCTGTAAACCCCTGTCTTCTCTCTGAAAAGCGGTATCTTTTACACCATCACTAAACTGATCCAAGATATGCAAGGCATACTTATCATTTTTCTTAGGAGTCCTCTGAATTGTATACTAAAGCAATTTTCAGGTGTCATGATGTAAAAATATTCCCTCAGTTCTGAGGTGATGAGCTTCTTGATCAATCAGCAGGGACCACAAACACTCATCAACTCACAAACGCAGTAAAGGGAACCTGACACCAATATTATTCCGTAGGAATGTGATTTTTATCAGTCAGAGGCATTTTCAAGTTAGAACTTTACCCTCCAGTGTCAGGAGATGTGCTGCCACTTCCTGTTTGGCTGAGATCCAGGTTGGCAGTGTCTTGAGACACAGAGTTTTCTGAAAAGCCTTCGCAGAGCTCCTTTGACTTCCTGGTTCCTGAGGCTGTAGATGAGTGGGTTCAGCATTGGGGTGACCACGGTATAGAAGATGGCAACCTGGCGATCCTGGTCTAAATTGTAGCTGGAGGATGGCCGGAGGTACATACGAATCACAGAGCCATATAGGAGCAGCACCACCAAGATGTGGGAGCTACAGGTGGAAAGAGCTTTGCGCAGGGCAACCGCCGAGTGCATATGGGCTATGGCAGCACCTATGCGCGCATAGGAACCCAGAATGAAGAAGAATGGGCTGACCACCACAGCTGCGCCCTCGGTGAAGATTAGCATTTCATTCACCACCGGACGAGTACAAGAGAGCTTCAGCAGCGCCGTGATGTCACAAAAGAAGTGAGTGACCCGGTTTCCACAAAAGGCTAAGCGGCTGACCAGCACACTATACAGGAGGCTGTTTAGGCTGACCACCACCCATGAGGTCAGTGTTATACGTAGACACAGATGCTGGGTGACAACGACCGAGTACCTTAAGGGGTCACAGATGGCAACATAGCGGTCATATGCCATGGCAGCCAGCACGTGGCCTTCCATGCTGCCTACAGCCATGAAGAAGAAGAGCTGTACCATGCAGAGGTTGTAGGAAATGGTTTGGCTCACAGCCAGTGTGTGGACCAGCATCTGAGGGATGGTAATGGTTGTTAGAAATATATCAATAAAGGAAAGCTGTCTGAGAAGGAAATACATAGGGGTCTGAAGTGTAGAATCCACACAAGCAACAATTACTAGTAGGGCATTGCCCAGAACTGCAATCAGGTACATGGTAAGGACAATTCCAAAAATAACTGGCTTCATCTCTGGCCAGCTGGACAAGCCCAGCAAGACAAAGTCAGTCACTTCTGTCCTGTTTCTCACAGCCATACAACATGGTCTTCTTTACCTGTAAAGAAGAAAGGTCAGTATTGACCAGGAAAGAGGATATCAAGATCTTTCTGCCATTACAGTGAAGATCTGTTTCACACTTTGGAAACTCAGTTTTATTCTCTTGGTAGGAATGTTCCAGATCCATTAAGTCAACTGACCTGGGTTGAGAATAGAACTAATCAGTATATTCACTGACTTGATTGATTAATTACTTGTCAATGAAAAATATAGTCTTCCAGGGAATGATATGATATTCTCCTGTGTTTGGGGAGTTGTTTTTTTTTTTGGCTCAGCTTTCTCTAGAGAGCAATGAAGACTGGACGCCAACAACACAACTTTCAATGCAGGTATAAATAAAGATACTTGGAAGCACATTGTATGTCTGTATGAATGGGGAAATACATAATAGCAGAGTATAACTATGGGAAAAATGTAATAAAAGGAAGAGGCTCATAACCCTGAGCTTATCTAATTCCAAGTTTAGTTTTAGCTCTTTAGGTACAGATGCTTCTGTGTTAGTTAAGACAGCTCTTGGCTTTCTAGTACAAAAATTGATGTTCAATCTCAATTATCTCACTCTTCTCTCCTGTTCCCAAATTTTTATGCTTGTTTTAGCCTTTAATGCCTGGTTTACCTCCATCTTCTGCATATATTCAGGAAATTATGAACTAATATAAAAATGCACAGCAAACTTCCATCTTTTCAAATCAAGAGTATTTTCATTCTACACTCACATCTGCAAACATATTAGGTCTTTTATGTTTCTTATCCAAGGTTGATGATGTTTGCTGACAGTCTGACTCTTGTTCTTTTTCTAGTTTCTTCCTGGAAACTTCTTGCAATCTTTACTGTTGCCATCCCTAAATTACATAAACATGTCAATTTTCTCATAAATTCTCTCATAACTTTAGGAGAACATTTCAATATGATGATGCATGACTCTGTTTGACTGTATGAGAAATTTTCTTATAATTTCTTTAAATTTCTCCTTAATGTATTTCCCAAAATAATTTTTTCGCAGTTTAGCCCAATTAGTTGTGCAAGGAGATTTCATACTGACATGTCCATATATGTATTCAAGGTACCTTGATCAAACTCACCCTCTGTCACAATCCCTCATTTTTGTCTGCCTTCCCAAACCAATCTCAGTAAGATTCACTCTTCCATTTCCACATATGTACACAAGTATTGTCATCATATTAGCCCTTCTACACTCTATTCATCCTCATCCCCCTCTCTAGAGCCCGCAATTGGGTGCTAAATATCTTTGATTGATTAATATCTTCTCATGTTTTCCATTGCTTGGTGCTTCTGGTCTATACCCTGGATTTTAGTCCCAATAATGCACAAATGGTATTTGATTTAGTCTTTCAATCATATATTTAACATCCACGAACAATTTGTTATTTTATTTGTTCCTTTTCAATAGTCGTCTACTCTTGTAGTTCCTTGGGTTTACATATTTTATATCATCTTTTGAATCCTGAGTGATTTAAATTTCTTCTGGACTCAGTTATTTGATTTGTTCATATCAACTTTTTCCTTTTCTGCTTCTGGTTTGTCATTCATAATGCTTTGGGGTGTTTCTTCTAGATAACAAGTGTGAATTTCTCATGATATGGTATTTGCATAGATGAGTTCTCTCTTTGCATAGATGAGTTCTTTCTCCCAGGTTAGGAAAATCTCAAATTGGCAGCTTGCCTTTATGCTATTTGTCCCAAATATGCCTGAGTACTTTCCCATAAGATGTAATAGCCAAATTAATAGCCCTAACTCTTGCTCATTCTAGAGAAGAATATTCAAATTTCATCGGGGTAAATACTAGATTATTGATGTCTGGGTCTTAAGGTAAGGAAGAGAGAAGAATGTATGGAAGGTTGGCTTACTTGTATCTTAGGAAGAATTGTTAGTGTTGGTCAAGAGTCGTGTATTCTACAAGCTCTCTCTGTTCTGCCTCTCACCCTCCTCCTGAACTGAGTCCTCTGGCTCTGGGTCCTTGTGAAGGAAGATCAGCTCTCTCTTCCATTGCAATCCCTTCCCAGGATTCTAAGAAGTTTTTCTCTTTTTCACTCAGAATTTCACTGAAATGCCATCTTCGCTATTGATTCTGCTTTCCTTTCCACTTATTGTTTTTTAGTGAATTTCTCTTTGTTATTATTTCACTAGCACTAGAGAGACAGAGAATATGTATATGAAATCCAATACATTCAATTATAAGCTAGAGAGTGAGTTATGGCTCTAGTTTCTTAAGGCTCTAATTTCTTATGGCTCTGATTTCTCCATAATAGGTCAGTCACCAAACAGAAAAGATATTCAAATAAATAAAACACTAAAAATAAAAGTAGCATAAGTATATTAAATGTATATGAAAGCAGTATGATATAATCCACTAACAACTATAAAAAGTGGGGAAGGGTCTAGGAAGGTGGCTCAGTGGTAGAGTGTTTGCCTCCCATGCATGAGGCCCTGGGTTTGAGTCCTCAGCACCACATGAGCAGAAAAAGCTGGAAGTGGTAGAGTGCTAGTCTTGAGCTGAAGAGCTGAAAGACAGTGCCCAGGCCCAGAGTCCAGGCCCCATGACCAACAACAACAAAAAAAAAAATGGAGAGGGCAGAGAATTGTATTAAGAATTTAATAACAGGCCTAGGAAGGTGGCTCAGTGGTACAGTACTTGCCTTACATGCATGAGGCCCTGGGTTCTATTCCTCAGTAGCACAAAAGAGAAAAAAACGGAAGTAGTGCTGTGGCTCAAGTGGTGGAGTACTAGCCTTGAGCTGAGGGACAGCACCAAGGCCCAGAGTTCAGGCCCCATGACCGACAAAAAAAAAATGTAATAAAAATGAATTTGATCAAAGTATAATAAATGCATGTATGGAAATATCATACTTTACACCAATGTAAAAAATATATAGAAAGCCAAATGAGATGATTCAAAAAGAAAAAGAAAAAAGATAAAGAAAACTCACAGGTCTGTTTTTCTGACTCTTTCTTCTGTGTGCAGCTCTAAGTGTACGCTCTTAGGATCCTATTGCTCATTCAAGACTGAGCCACTGCTACCTTCAGGGGTTCAAAGGAGTGGACAAGTGAAAGAGAAGAGATGAGAGAGAAGAGGTGAGGGAGAAAGACAGTGAGAGACAATGTCTCCATGAAGTAAGAAGTGAAAAGGTTGTAGCTCTATCCCTAAGGAGAATAAGAATTAACATAGGGAATTCATTTTTTTCAGGCAAATGATATTTTTCAAATGAATTCTATGTAAGAGTATGTGGTACTGAGGTTCTTATTGGCTGATTTCAGGGATTCATCTAAATATTCAATATCTCAGTATTGAGATAATCAATATATCTCCTGAGACTGGACTCTGATGATCCTATTCAGAAAACTTGGAAAGATCAAGCATGCGCATGCAAGACAGTGAGTTATGAGGCGAGAGATGAAGACATTTGTATCAACAGCACTAGAATATTTCAAGTCAATACATTTGAGTGAGCTCTGACAGAAGAACAAATACAAAAGCATCCCTGGAAAAGGGATTCAGGCTTCACAGTTTATTGTTGGTGCCTCAGGATATCTAGTCATGGAAGAAAGCTAGATTACCCCCACACACATACACACACAGATTGTTCTTGACTTTCCTCTTTAATGAAAGCATCAACAGACATACTACTTCTCTTCGCCACTGAATCACTATCTAAATGTTAGAAACAGAGTCTGTTTAGTGTCTTCTTGACCTCAGTTCTGTTCTAGTCCACACACCCTCTTAAACTGATGAGTCACAAAGGCTACATCTGAGATGTATACATAAGAACTTTTTTTCTTTTTCTCAAATTCTCACAAAATACACAAGACCTCAGTAATATATGTCTAATGTCTGGAAAACACACATTTTCCCCACACCCGCTCTGGTTCCATGACTCTATTCTATATTTCCATTCAAAAATCTATCTTTCTATGCCATAGAATCAACCATTCTCCATCATTTCGCTCCCACTATTTTCGTGGATCGTCTTGGTAGAAATATCTACTATTTTCCAAGAATCTAATTTATAATTTTCTGTTCCCATTCCACTTACGTTAAGACATAGTGAAAACTTGGCTTTGCAGTCTGTATCTAGCATCATACACCCGGAAAGAAAGCGCAGCAGAGCTGCCCTCCCCCTTTCTCAGTAGGGAGCCCTTTTTTATGATAAGAAGCAGGCTCAACCCCTTGCGCTCACACTGGGACTCCACTGACCCCAGGAGATTCCAACTGCGTTCACAGGAAACACTAATTGGAATGGGCTGTGCCTTTCCCCCTTCCTATACCCAATGGGACCAAATGGGGCTCGGAGCCCATCTATTCTTCTTCCTCATCACCTGCTCTCATTGAGGCAAAATTCATATAAGCTTTGGGAAACTACTGGGCTTACAGGAAAAGCCCACCCTTTGGGAACATCAACCATATCTCTCTGTGTAATATTAACAGTTGGGCAAAGAAGAACACAAGGGGAAACTGATTCCCATTCCATCCTTGCAGGAAGTTATTTTCCCATCTTATTCTTTCTTTGATTATTTTTGTGGGGGGGGGGTGGGAGAGAGGTCATGAGGCTTGAACTCTGGGCCTGGGCGCTGTCCCTGCGCTCTTCAGCTCAAGGCAAGCACTGTACCTCTTGAGCCATAGCGCCATTTCTGGTTTTCTAGTAGTTTACTGGAGATCAGAGTCTCACGGACTTTTCTGCCCGGCTGGCTTTGAACCTTGATCCTCAGATCTCAGCCTCCTGAGTAGCTAGGATTACAGGCGTGACCCACCAGCGCTTGGCTTCTTCCTTTGACTATTAAGTGTCTGTTGGTAATCCAAGAAACTTAACTAAGCTGACTTATGGCTGGAAGGTTTGGGAGATAGTAATAGGATAAATCTAATTATTGTTATCTAATCATTGTCCTGTTTCCTCAATAACTTTCTCATTCCCGGCCCTCTCCTGCTTTCAATCTTTCACTGGGTGAAATTTAGTTCCTTTGTT